TGCCGGCTCAACCCGCCCGAGGTGAATGCCGTTACAAGTACAAGTAAGTACTATTGCACAGGGCTTGAGGTGCCAGGTTGTGTGTGACACGCATAGACGAGGCGTTCAGATTTGTCAGGCACTGCGCTCACTCCCACCTTTGGTCGGTTCGGAGAGTGTGTTAAAATAGTGTAAGGTAGATGCAGCGCAACTCCTCTTCAGTATAACCTTATTCAAATGAAAACCACTGCTGGGCCCAGCTTGTTGAACAGTGGTGGACCTCGTCTGTAATGATCGAGCTATGAATTCGCATGCAGTTATTGACTGACAGCAACCTGCTGCCACCCATAGTTTTTAATCTTTCCAGTCGAAGTTATAAGTAATCCTGGCCCCATCTGTCCGAAGTGGGCGTACTTGAATCGTTGATATTCGTTTGTTGAAGAGTGTTGTTTGTTTGCTTTATCTCCTAAATGACTTCATTTCAAATCTTCTACAGTTAATGATAGACTGGCTGTTGCGACTAGGACATCTCATACAGCTTCTACAGAATTTCGTCAGCTTTGGTTTAATCATGTTTGTAGTTAAAGCTAAAAGCAACGGGTTGCTATGTCTTTATCTTACTTGTAAAAACCACTAATCTGGCCAGAGTAGTCTTAAAATAAGGCATACCTTATGAGGCGGGTTTAAAGAACAAAATAGACATTATGTGCTTGCGTGTATCGCATTGCACCGGCTCTCACACCACGGACCATATTAACCCATGTACTACGGTCATCAACTTGTCCACTAATTATTATTCAGTTGGCGTCCACTTATAGAGGGGCGTTGGTCATTTTTAGCCACAGGCATACGTTGGGTGGGCTGACATCAGGGAGGAATTTCCTTTTGGATTGATAGGAGCATAACCGGAACCATCTTATACAAGTTAACATTCTTCGCTGTCATCCAGATAGTACTGCTGGTTGTCTGGCGTTGTTCGCAGTACAACAACACATGCAATCTTTTTGTGCAAATGCCCCACTTGGGGGGGAGAGAGAATTAGGTTGATAGGAAGTAGAAACGCCACGTCAATCTGCGATGATTTGTGGCTTATGCGCCAAGTTCCGAGCACCCGCATCCGACTGAGGTCGGACACAAGGTAATCCTCGGCTGGCAAATTTAGATGATTTTGCACGAAGAGCGTGGACATCCTAACGCCTGTCTCACTAAAATCTGTACAAATGTATTTTACATATTCATTTCGACTCACTGAAAAAGTAAACCCTCAAGCTCTCAAAACTTACTAAACTACAGAAGGGACGGAATTTTACTTCTTTGTCACGAGTATATAAAACTGTCTTAGTAAATAACGACATCTTACTATCACGAAGTACCTTCTCATAACTGGGGACAGGATTAAAACAATTTTTCCTGATCTCGCTTACAGTCTGAACAGGAGTTTACAGTCAAGGAAGTTTACCAGGAGCTCCGCGAGCTGACCGGCAGGTGGAAGATTGGAAAGTTCAAATGCAAGGTGAGATTGTAGCTTACAACAGATTTACTTGTAGCTTATGCGCGTATTGCTCATAATATATTGTCGTTTTCTGTACTGTTAAATCTATTTTTCTCTTGTCAACATTCCGTTTCATCCTCTGGCTCATATATAATTCATCGACTTCTTCTGTCCTCCACCAGCCAACCGTCAAGAAGTATGCTTTTGAGTTTGCCGATGTGCCTTCGGAAGCAGAGTACTTGGAAGTGCGCTACTCCGTTGCATTCCCTGCTCTCCCTACCAATCTTTCTGGGGAAACCTTCTCGAGGGTATTTGGTGCCAACACATCTTTGTAAGTTGTCGTTTTTAGTTTTCTATACATCCTGCATCCGCTTCACCTGCTGATCTTCCAGATCAAGTACCTCGGCAGGTACGTTTGCGTTCGATCTGAAGGATGCAATATATTCCCTGTTAATTGCGGTTAGATTAAAATATACGACCCGTTAGTGTAAGCTAGCCAGTTTGCTTATTTCGTCAGATTGTGACAAGTGGCATTTGGGACCTACCTGTCCTTTCGAAG